AACATGTATTTTAATTCTCCATTACAATGAATTTTACATTTTAACAAATGTAGACAACATGTAACAATTCATTTTTAGAAATGAAAAACAATGTTTGGTTTTGAATGTTGTGTTTTCCTTCTGCCTATCAAATTTCCAGTACCCTTTTAAATGCATATTTTGTGAGTAGATTCACATTTGTGTTCATAAACAGCCCCATCCTATCTTCTTTGTATGTGTGGTTTAGCACAGCTATTGTGTGATTTACACATGAGGGATAAATGCATGTCTTATGTAAAGTGGATCAGAAGCCAGCAATATTCTTCCCTGACAGAATACTGTATTATAAATAAACTTAAATATGGGCTGTGAAACTTTGGATTCCAACACCAGGTGAAATCCAGTATTGAGCCAAGCTAAAGTGCACTCATTTAGATCAATGGAACCAACATTATGTGTGACTAACAAGTCCTATTCACCTCAGTTAGAACTGCTGCTGTATTTAGCACTGTTGATGGCTTCATACTACAGAACTGTGGTAGCTACAATGCATTACTTTGGTAGAACAGGCTTTCATGTAAAATTCAGATCTTACAAAAGGCCCAAGAACCTTCCAGCATGTACCACCAATCATATGCTATTTCCAGTCTCAAGCTAGCATGCCTCCATATAATGGTTCATTAACAGGATAAGAGGGAGGCTGCTACTGAATTAATTTCCTGTTACTTGCTCCCTATAAGCATCACGTTGGTGGCTACTGGAACAAAAGGCTTGGTGGTCTGACTTGCCATGGTTCATTTTCTGTTCTTCTGGCAACTTACAGACAGAGAGAACTAGTGACCTACCTTTATAATCCGTGTTTTAGTGCAACCACTGCAGGTACCCAGACCATGCACTGATTTCATCTGAGTAGAAATCAGGTGATCTGAAAACCCAATAGGGTTTCCATCTGGTGTTATATAACTGCTGATGACTCTGGCCTGTTTTGTCAGAGTGAGCAACCTGTCACACAGTGGAGGCTGAGCTGTTCACAGATTGCTTGATTCCAAGCTCGAACCTCTACTGAACCATCAGCTTTAGTCCTCTGCCAACCCTCCTGTCTTGATATGTGCCATTTGATACTCAGCTTTATTTGTTTGTTTATTATACAGTGTATGAGCTACTTTCCCCCAGAAACTCTGTATAGCATGCATGACAAAACTCTCCAAGTCTTCTTTCTATGAGAGAAACACACACTGCTAACAGAGATCAACCATTATTATAGTAGCGTCTTTTATTTGTAGAACATTGTGGACCCATCCACAGTTCCAGATAGCATGTAGCATCATTATTGTCAATGTACAGAAGGTGCAGAAGCATCACTAATATAGAGTCAGTGGACAACACAATGCCAGCACAATAACATTAATTGCAGCTAAGCCCATATTAGGACCCTTGCAAGTGATACATGATCCTATTATGTCACACGGGGAGAGACTATTGGTTCCAAGTCCTTCACCCAAATGTGTGAGAGTAAGCTGCAGTTAAATTATAGAATCGTAAAGTTCGAAGGTCATCTAGTTCAATCTCTTTCCAATGTAGGAAATCCAGTGCTAGAGCATTCCAGGTCATCCAACATCAGTTTAAAAACCTCTAATGGAGAAGTGCCTACTTTCACTGGAACTTTATAAACAGAGATTTAAAATCAGTCAGTTTTACTGTGGGGTTGTATTGTCAGACAGGTCCTGAGTTAGTTACGGAGAAATACTCCTGTTAAAGGCACATGATTTATTTTCAATTACCTATGTTAGAGATTAAGACATAGAACGAATCTCATTTTTACCAAGCTTTTGACCAACCACAGTTCCTAAGTGAAAGGAGGACACATCAAGGCAGGTAAAACATATGCTCTTTGTAGAACAGAAAGGAAGTAATATTTATTGCTCTGTATTAATCATTTGCATATGCAAACATAAATGCACAGAATTAGATATAGTTTGACTTGTGGGTGTAGAACTGGCAGTTTACTATAAGAATGGAGTATGCAGCAGCTAGACATTTTTGTGCCATGAGAGCTGCACTTTCATGCTAGATCTGCAAACTAAATATGAAAATATCTATGGCTATCTTGGTTATAGAAGTGGAAAAACAAACCTAAATCTTAAGGACATTTCGTTAGAAGTCCACTTGTGTTCAATACATGCACTTAGAATATTTACTTAGTCATTCATCACACAGGAATATGTGCTTGGCAAATACAGCTCTCATAGCACTATTTGTTTTCATTATAAGTGAAGCAATGGAAATATTAGTTTAACCTGCTCAAAATTTTAGTTTGATTTTAAAAGCTTGCAGCTCGGAAAGCATGTTTCTTCTAAGAAAAAAAAACTTCATTTTTCGAATGTGACTGACACCTGTTTGATTCCACGAGTCAAGGAGAGATGACTCAACACCTACTGAATGCAAATTCTTAGCTCAGGCTGTAACAATGCAGTACAAAAAGCAACAAGAGCTGACACCTGTTTTAGTGCTTTAACTCAGGATGCTTCAAGACAGAGCTTTTTACTGTGCCTCGCTCACGGAAGCTTACAGGAGGCCCAGATTACATATTCAGTTTACAGATTTCATGTGTTGCCTAATGTTTCTTCCATCTTTTATTACTTGCCAGTGAAAATCTATTAAGGAAAAAAAAAAAAGATGCACAATACCTTTTAATTGGGAGCAGTTGAAGCCCTGTGTGAAAGCACCAAGCTGGGATTAAATATCTGATCCACTAGTACTGGCTCTACATATTATTTTGCAACATCTATTGCTCTTGTGTGAATAATATTATTTGTCCTCATTTTCTAAGTCAATCAAGCTCTTTACAACCTAATTCAGCTGTCTAGCTCCTCTACTCAATCTGTGAAAGCAAATCCATCTGTAAAGTTTAGAATATTTGTACTTCAGGTACACAACTAAAAATACATTGATATGTTCATTACCAAATGTAAAGTCTCTCAATTTTTTCATCAAGTGTCTAGTAACTAAACGGTTATTGATGACTGCCTATCTTGGAGATCATCTTGTACATCCAATCCTGAATCTGAACACCTGCTATAATAACCTACCTCTTTAAATCTTTGCATTATTTTATCTTTGCTCCTATAAAGTCTTCAGAGCTATATGTGATTCTGTACATGACTGAATATCTGGATCCATGATTCATGTTTATATTGGAACTATGTTTAAAGAAAGTAGCCAGCAAGTTATGACTTCTGATTTGTACTGACTGAAATCAAATTAATTTAGCTAAACAGCAGACCATATATAGATTGGCATACAAAGTGTTTTTTGCACAAAGAGCAGTTCTTCTTTTACTGGGCCATTTGTTTTATCTAGGATTAAACAGAGCTTGAAAGTGGCCAATTTATCTGTATCCAAGCACTTTAAATGGAAGACTTGAAGGCTTACACATCCCAACTATGCCATAAAACCTCACTCTAAGGTCTTCAAAGCATTTGGCTTGTTTAAACTAATTCTAGAGGTAAAATGTTCTACAAAAGTATATATATCATAGCCAGTATAACAAAATATTTATGGAATAGTTCTTGTTTAAAGTGCAAGATGGCAAAAATGCAGAATGATGAATTCTTTCTGATGAATAAGGATGTTACGCTTTCTGGACCACTTTGCCCCGTAGGCAGTGGCACATTTTTTGCTCTGTCTCACAGAAACAGCACATTCCATGTTACTAGCAGTAAGATCAACAATGGAAAGACACCATCATATGACACAGTGCACACTAAGTCTTCTTTTTCTCCCAAGCAGCTGAGCAAGACTATTATTCACAAAACCTTAAGCCTCAAAACTCTATCTGAGCAGCCCATGGATCCGATCTGTCACAGTTCCACCTTACACAAGTGTAAAAACAATTCAAAAATGGCTCTAAAAAGATTCAGAGTGCGGTACCTTGAAATTGGACTTGCCCACACTCATCTAGGAAGGTAAAAGATAGATCAGTCTATCATAATGATAGACTACGTGTGGCGAACTGCAGCAGTAGAATATACCCCTACTGGCACCCATGACTGTTATACGAAATCCCTTAAGTTTATTGAAAATCAACTGTCAGTGCGCCCAGAATTCAAGACACCACCGCAGGTGGTTTTCAGATGCACTTCTATTGCATGTCGGACTGAATGTCCCCTGGCCACCTTTGGAAATGATTTCCAAAACGCTTGTAGTCTAATAAAAACTGGCCACTGCTCAGAAGAATCAACGGGCTAAAGGACTGTCGGGCTGGGGACAGACCAGACCCCGTACACGTTAGCCCCGATCTTTACAAAACATGAAGAACCTGTATTTATTCCGTACTTCACCACGAGACGTCCCGCAAGACAGACAGAGCAGGGGCAGAAATGGGGCTTTAAAGCGCTCCCCTTCTAAGAACCTGAAACTCGGCAAGCTTCGTGCCCCCCCTACCAGCCTTACAAAGTCAGCCCCTGCCTGGAGATCTTCTTTTCCTCCCCGTCCCGCACTCGTCATCGTCCCGCTCACACAGAAAGGGGGACGGCCAGCGCAAAACTTCGGGAGAGAGAGAGAGAGAGACGGGCGGCTGTTTGCTGTCCCGAGAAGATAAGACTCCGCAAAGGCCCTCCTGCGGGGGATGGGAGGTGGGCGCGCGCGAAGAGGGATCTGGATCTGCGCGGGCTGCCGCTCCTGCCGCGTTTCGGACCTCCGCGCCCCTCCCCGCCGCGCCCCGTGCCCAGGGTCTCCCTGAAAGTTGCCTCTACCA